GCCCACTGCTATCTTTGGCAGCCGCGCAGCCGGGCTTGCCAATATCCCTGGCGCGCACAGCTGGCGCCTGGAAAAAGTAAGCAGGTTCCCCCGCGCCAGACGACACAATCTCAGCATTAGGCCTGTCGGAGCAAGCGCGGGTGGCCGCGGCGCGCGCCTGCCCCCGTCACTCGTTTTCAAACCATGGGGGCGTCCAAATGCCCGTGCGATGCTGCGCTGCTGAGCCACTGCTCGAAGTGAAGATATCAAACTTCTCAGCGGCATCATCTCCTTCTGCAGGTGCCCCTGCATTTACGTCGGGCGGCGTCCTCTGGCTGCCCTCGTCGCAGATGGCCTGATACACCTTCGCCTGCAAGCTGCGCAGGGCGAAGTCCTGATCGGCCGGTGTGGCGACATTCCCGGAGGACGTGTTCCTGCGACGCCAAGTCTTCAAAGTGTTATTCACCACAGACTGGATCGCGACAGCAAGCGTCTCCTCGTTGATGGAGAAGCAGATGCCATAGGTGCCCTGGGACATCAAATATGCATGGGCACCGCTAGTAGCGGGTGCCCCCGCACTGCTCGATGAAGATTACCCTGCAGTTGGCTCTGTGCCAGCTGCCTCCTTCACAAGTGACGAGGCGTCTTTGCAATGACGATTGGCCGCGATAGCAAGCGGCATCGAGCCTCGACCCTCCGTTGCGGCCCCGCACTCGTCGACCTCGATCGCCAGGTGCCCCGGAGGCGTTCCCATTAAATCAAGTACCCCGGCGCCCTTCCCGAGGAAGAGCTCGCGCATCTCAGAGCCGAGATGGCCATCTTCTCGCGCCCCTGCTCCAGGATCAGGAAAGCCCCCACGTAAGACACACTCCTCAGACCCAGGACAGCAGGGTGATTTTTCCCTGAACCATTAGCCACGTTAGCTGTGTGTCCAATCTTGGCGCGGCGGGTTTCCCCGCAGTATCTCCTTTCTCCTCGCGTGCAATTCTGCAGCGCAGAAAACTCATCGCAGACGGCGGCGCCACGTCCCGCCCCCGACACGCAAAGCCTTTTCGACCAATTCAACTTCTTGATGTCGCGCCCGCGGGAGCGGGGCACGCGCTCGAATGTCTGCGCCGTTTCCCGACCGGGGATGTTGATGTTGCTGCCGATGCCCAACAGGACCGTCAGCATTCCGTCCACCACGGCCCCCCCGGTCGCAGCCAGGGCCGATTCATGGCGCTCTCCGAATATACCTGGCACATCGGACAGCGCAGTTTTATACAGGCCCTTACGACGCCTCTGCCCTAACACCCAATCGTTCCTCGCCAGGGGCGTGAAGACATTGATGCACCCGTGGGCCTCTTCCTCAGCGATGGGGATCTTCTCGAAGATCCAGGCCGACGGGCACTCGTCACGCACGTGAGGGCGTTGCGCAGATGAGAGCGGCATATTCCTGAACGCGTCATCCTCATCGGCGCGCATGGCTACCTGTCCGTCTGCGTTCGCCATCAACACAGCGTGTAGCATGTCGCGCTCTGATATGGCACTGCTGCCGCTGCGTGCGCTCACCGGGGTTTCCGTCCTACGCTGGCTACGCGGGCGGATGTCACGCCCGTAGGGCATGTGTGCATGTGATACTTGGAGCAAATGCGCGCTTCTCTCAGTGGCTCTCTCCATACGCCTCAGCCACATATCGTTGGCAGGCGACGCCGCAGGTGCCGTCGCAGCAGGTGCCCCTGTACTGTTGGCTGGTTCAGCAACTACGGGCATAGGCGCATCTGCGGCAGGCGCGGTGACTGCTGTCGCCTGCGCCGCACTGGATGATGACACAGGTTGCCCCGCAAGGGTCGTCGCGGCAGCTGCCGCGACGTTTGTCGCCATCGCCGCGACGCGGCCGAGCCCTTCGCGAAGGTCCCCGAATTCGCTGGCCCCGCGGAAATCTCTTCATGGCGAGTTGCTGCATCTCGACCTCCAGCTAGGGCGTAGTGGAACTCAGCTGCGATAAGATCAACACCCCTGCAAATAGCACAGGGAGCCTCACTCGCAGTGCCTTCTAACGTGCCTGCCAGCTGCCGATCCACATGCGCATGAGCCACTCGATCCCAGCACTGCGCATGGAATGCGCGGCCACACTGAGGCCTCCAGATCTTGTCGTCATTGACGAAGTTGTCCAGGCATATGGCACACATGTTGAAGTCACTGTCGCTGATGATCGGCGGCGTTTCCGATCGCGTGGGCTCAGCAATCTCGCACTGGATCGGCGGCGCCGGCGGTGGCTGCACAGCTGCAGGCGATGCCAGGTTGAAAGCAGGTGCCCCCGCAGTAATTGGAGTAGCGGGTTGCCCCGCACGGCCCATCTGCCGGCGCGTCTGCCGCTCCTGGTTGCGACGCTGGCGGGCCACCTGCATGGTGAGGTTGGCCTGCTGCGCCTTGTGGATGGCCAGGATCTCGGGGCGCAGCTCCCCCACGGATGCTGGCGCTACCAAACCGGGGACCTGTTGCATCACATCAGGATCCATGGGGGTGGCCAGATAACCGCAATGAAGTATATGGCCCAGTGCCCCAGACTCGTATCCGGAGCCGCGTGTCAGCTGAGACTGGTAGAAGTCGTCGGCTGTCGTCCGAACATACGGGATATCCGGATGCGATCCCGCGCGAGGATCGCCCGTCACCTGAGCATGGTGGTCGGGGAACATCAATGCATCTATCGGTGACGCTGTAGCTCGCTCAGCAGCCGTTGGATCGCATGTCGGGCGGCTGAAAAAAACGCTGAAAAATACCCGTACCCATGGGGGTTATCCGGCGACGGATTTCGATCCGGAATGAAGTCCCAGGGGGGTGTCCAGCTGGCGCTGGGGAGGTCGATGCCGTCCCGACGTATACTCTGCATGGCCTCACGCATCTGCCTGTACATCCATTGTTGCTGACCTATCAAGCTTTCAGTCCTCTGGGTAACTTCGCGGTGAGAGAAAGCAGGTTGCCCCGCAGGTGGACGTGGTGATGCGAACGGCGATGTCGCCTGCAAGGCCTGGTAGAGCTGCGGGTCCATCCGAATGCTCTGGAGCCTTGCCTGCAGGCTATTGGTGCCCCCGGCACTCTGTGGAGTAACACATAAAGCCGTAGCCCTGCTCATGGGCGCGGACGAAGCAGGTTGCCCTGCAGGTACGGGCAACTGTTGCGTCTGAGGACGCCACGGGCCGCTGGCATACAACCCGTCATTGGGCGTGGTCCCATTGGACGTCATACCAGGCACGTCCGCGCTCTGGTATCCTTTTTGCATCATATATACCGTAGTGAAGTCGACTCTCATGCATGGGCGTCGGTTCGGGGACCTTCAGGTTGTAGGGGGTCTTAAGTACAAACCAATTCTTCAGCGACGATGTACCATATGGAAAATCATATATATGTATATATATGTATATATATACATCGGCTGGAAGGAAGTTGTTAGAACGCAGATGTCTCTGCTCGTTGTCCCTATGTACAAGAAATGGCCCACATCTGTCACACGCGGTCATATACACATTGAATCGTGTTCGGCAGGATGCCTACGAGCTGGACGATGTAGCTCGGCGGGATTATGCCTTCCCGACCTGCCGTCCTAATAATACCAGTTGTTGAACTCCAAATAGCTATAGTATCGCGAATTGGGTCTTTCAAACTTACCATAATTAATACTTCGGAATCTACGCGCAGGCTGGACTGAATCCTGTTAACTTCAGGTAGATATGGGCATCCGTGGACAAACTGTCTGCCCCTTTCATTGACAGTGTCATCAGCGCGGCATGGCAGCCCGACATGAAGTATATTCGGGATGGTAACCCATTTGGCACCATGGATAAAATAGCTAGGTGCCCCTGGTGATGTCAAATCCGTTATCGTGTTTGTATAGGGACTCATGACACCTTATGTCAGGGCTGCTATGCCCAGTGTTGGACGCAGAAAATACGTCGGATGCCCAATACGGCAAAAGAGACGCGCAAGACAGCCCGAAAGAACCCCAGCAAAGCCATCATCATCATCATCATCATCATCATGATCATCATCATCATCATCATCATCATCAGCATCATCAGCATCATCATCCTCATCACCACCATGACAGTCACCACAACCATCACCATCACCATCATCAGTACCATCACCATCATCATCATCATCACCATCACCATCACCGTCACCATCCTCATCATCATCAGCAGCATCAGCATCAGCATCATCATCATCACCATCACCATTACCACCATCATAGTCATCACCATCACCATCGCAATCCCCATTACCACCACCAGCACCAACATCATCATCATTATCAGCATCAGCATCATCAGCATTAGCATCACCGTCACCATCACCATCACCATAATCATCATCAGTATCATCACCAGCATAAGCATCATAGCATTTGCATCAGCATAATCATCATCAGCAGCATCATCATCACCACCAGCACCACCACCACCATCATCATCATGATCATGATCATCATCATCATCATCATCATCAGCATCAGCAGCTGCAGCAGCAGCAGCATCAGCGTCACCATCACCATCACCATCACCATCACCATCACCATCACCATCACCACCATCATCATCATCATCATCCTCATCATTATCATCATCATCATCATCATCATCAGCATCAGCATCAGCATCAGCATCATCATCATAATCATCAGCATCATCATCATCAGCATCAGCATCACCATCACCATCATCATCATCATCATCATCATCATCATCATCATCATGATCATCATGATCATCATCATCATCATCATCATCAGCATCAGCATCAGCATCAGCATCAGCATCATCATCATCATCATCATCATCATCATCATCATCGTCGTCGTCGTGTTCTTTCTCTCCTCCTCATGTTTCCTGAAACGCCGACCAGGGCTCAGAGTTCGAAGGATGTCTGCAGCCAAATGACCCTAGCGCGGGTGACCAATACCGCAGCGTTGATTGCACCCGCAGGGGCACGGAGCGCACGTGGTCACAGAGACTCGAAGAACTCTCGGGGGCGGAGCGCGCCTCCAGGTTGTACAGCTGACTGACGTGGCTCCACTCCCCGGCCAGTACCACGGACAGGTACTGCTGCTCGGGTGCCCACGCCCCCCGATGCCAGACCTCTCAGGGGCAGGGCGCGGCAGATCAGGAGCGGCGAGGGGAAGTGGACGGGGAGAGAGAGGTCCCAAGAGGCCTCCCAAGAAACCCCCAAAGGCCACTGAGAGGCCTTTTGCCCACGACGCAGGCATGCTGGCGGGATGGACCGAAGGCCACTGGATCCTGATACTGGGAATGATACTGCGACTGATGATGTTACTGCCCACGCTACTGCTGCGCATACTGTTGCCGCGGAGACTGCTGTGGCCACTGCTACAGCTCCTCTCGCTACTGCTACGACTGATTCTGGCATGGGCTACTGGTACGGCTGGGACTCCTGTTACTCACTGGCACCCGTGTGGCTACCACAATTACTGGTTACACTACTTTTGCTGCTGCTGGGATTGAATCTACACCGCCTATGTATATACACCACCTGTGTATATGCACCACGAGTATATACGCACACGTACATATACATCAGCATGCACAGATGCGGAAACATTAACATCCACATATGTGTGTGGATGTAATCTACATGTAAAATACAAACGTACACGTATACAACAACCTATGCATATACACAGATCCGCAAATGTGACGCTGACACGAAGTGGAGAGCCCCAAGGCTCACGCAGCCCTTAAATGTCAAATGTTTGTACGGTTCTTACGGGCCGGGACCATCGTTTTCCCAGGCGCTCTTGGGCGCTACTGGGGTGGTCGCGTGGGCCTCCGGGACAGTGATCCCGTCGAACATGACCCGAAACTAACCACAGAATTCGTCAAAACGCCCCAGAGGGTCCAAAAGTACCCCGAGACGGCCCCAAAAGGCTTCCGGACTAGCTGCGATGCCCTCCAGATGGCCCAAGACGCCTCCAAGACGCCCCAAAAAACCTCCGAGAGTAATCCCCAGAAGGCCCCAAGAGACAAACATCAACGTTGTTCCAGAGGCCTCCACGAGGGCCCGAACGCGGCCCAACAGGGTCCCAAGACGGCTCCAAGAGGGGGCCCCGACGGGGACCCGAATGGACATTTCGAGCTCACTGCCCAAGGAGGTCCCTGGGAGACCCCAAGAGGCCCACAAGAGGCCGCCACGAGGCATCGAGGGGACCCCAAAAAAACCCACAGAAAAACCCAAGAGGCCCTCAAGAGGCCCCAAGAAGCATCGCCGAGGACTCTGACCCACAACCCAGGCACGGTGGAGGGATGGGCCGAACGCCATTAGAACCGCCGCCCCCTGTCGATTCATCGCAGGGGTGCCTGGCGTGATAGACGATTTCGGTTTTGGCTTTGGTTATTTTTCCAAAAGAACCCCCTCTGAGGTTTCGGCCCGTCCCGCCAGGGTGCCTGGAGGATTGCCCAGGAGCTCAATCCCAGAATTACGCTACCGAGGAAACCCACATACTTATATTATGGCTGAAGTGATGATATCTGAAGTGAAGCATGTGAGAATGATGTTGGTGGCCGTTACCCCGCCGATACCATTAGTGATGCCACTCAAAAAAAAAAGTGAAAGTGCCACTCCTGCTATGCCCTGGACGACGGGCTCGGATAGCGGCCGCGCTCAGGGACCACCTCCTGCGCACCCCCTACGGTGTCGAGAAAGTGCTATCCTGCCTTGCCCTGGACAACCGGCTCGGAAGGCGGCCGCGCTCAAGGACCACCCCCTGCGCACCTCCTATGGTGTCGGAAAAGTGCCACTCCTGCTATGTCCTGGACGACCGGCTCGGATAGCGGCCGCGCTCAGGAACCACCCCCTGCGCACCCCCTACGTTGGCGGGAAAGTTCCACTCCTGCTATGCCCTGGACGACAGGCTCGGATAGCGGCCGCGCTCAGGGACCACCTGCGCAGCCCCTATGGCGTCGAGAAAGTGACACTCCTGCCATGCCCTGGACGACCGTCTCGGATAGCGGCCGCGCTCAGGGACCACCTCCTGCGCACCCCCTATGGTGTCGATGAAGTGCCACTCCTGCTTTGCCCTGGACAACCGGCTCGGATAGCGGCCGCGCTCTGGGACCACCTCCTGCGCACCCCTATGGTGTCGGGAAAGTGCCGCTCCTTCTATGCCCTGGACGACCGGCTCGGATAGCGGCCGCGCTCAGGGACCACCTCCTGCGTAGCCCCCTATGGTGTCGGGAAAGTGCCACTCCTGCTATGCCCTGGACGACCGGCTCGGATAGCGGCCGCGCTCAGGGACCACCTCCTTCGCACCCCCTACGGTGTCGAGAAAAAGCCATCCTGCCGTGCCCTGGACAACCGGCTCGGATAGCGGCCGCGCTCAGGGACCACCCCCTGCGCACCTCCTATGGTGTCGGGAAAGTGCCACTCCTGCTATGCCCTGGACGACAGGCTCGGACAGCGGCCGCGCTCAGGGACCACCTTCTGCGCAGCCCCTATGGCACTATGGTGTCGAGAAAGTGACACTCCTGCCATGCCCTGGACGACCGGCTCGGATAGCGGCCGCGCTCAGGGACCACCTCCTGCGCACCCCCTATGGTGTCGAGGAAATGCCACTCCTGCTTTGCCCTGGATAACTGGCTCGGATAGCGGCCGCGCTCAGGGACCACCCCCTGCGCACCTCCTACGGTGTCGGGAAAGAGCCGCTCCTGCTATGCTCTGGACGACCGGCTCGGATAGCGGCCGCGCTCAGGGACCACCTCCTGCGCACCCCCTACGGTGCCGAGAAAGTGCCACTCCTGCTATGCCCTGGACGGCGGGCTCGGACAGCGGCCGCGCTCAGGGACCACCTCCTTCGCACCCCTACGGTGTCGAGAAAGTGCTACCCTGCCTTGCCCTGGACAACCGGCTCGGATAGCGGCCGCGCTCAGGGCAGACCCCCGCCGCACCTCCTATGATGCCGGAAAAGTGCCACTCCTGCTATGCCCCGGACGACTGGCTCGGATAGCGGCGGCGCTGCTCAGGGACCACCCCCTGCGCACCCCCCACGGTGTCGGGAAAGTGCCACTCCTGATATGCCCTGGACGACCGGCTCGGATAGCGGCCGCGCTCAGGGACCACCTCCTTCGCACCCCCCACGGTGTCGGGAAAATGCCACTCCTTGCCATGCCCTGGACGACCGGCTCGGATAGCGGCCGCGCTCAAGGACCACCTCCTGCGCACCCCCTATGGTGTCGAACACCGCGCTCAGGGACCACCACCAACGCACTCCCTGGTGTCGAGAAAGTGCCATGCCTGCCGTGCCCTGCACATCCTACACGTGCGTGTTGTGTATGGCATGTCATGTGCGCTGTGCTCTGCTGTGCTGAGCAACGCTGTGCCGGGCTGAGCTGTGCTGAGCAACGCTGTGTTGTGCTGCGCTGCGCTGTGTTGTGAAGTGTGCTACGCGTGTCTCATGTACGTGCCGTGCAGGTGGTGCGAGTGGGAGAGGGAGTGCATGTGTGTATGTGTGTATGTGTGTTTGTGTCTGTGTGTGTCTGTGTGTCTGTGTGTATGTGTCTGCGTCGGTGTGCCTGTGTATTGTATGTATGTATGTATGTATGTATGTATGTATGTATGTATGTATGTCACGTCTGCCGCGCTTTGCGGGAGAGGGAGGTGTGTGCGGGTGTGAGACGCGGGTGCGACACGGCAGGGAAGACAACCAGAACACCACGAAACATGTGGGGAACAAATCCTCCAAGACGACCCAAGATGGCTTCCAAGATGGCCACGTTGGCCCAAGATGGCCTCCAAGATGGTCCAAGATGGCCTCCAACTCCGCCCAAAATGGTCCAAGACGGCCTCCAAGACGGCCCAAGAGAGTCCAAGACGGCCCAAGAGGCCACCCAGAGGCCTCCAAGACGGCCCAAGAGGCCTCCAAGAGGTCCTCGAGGAGGGCCCGAAGAGGCCAAAATCATTGATTCCCCACATGTTTCGTGGGGTTTTGGTTTTCATCCCTGCCGCGTCGCACCCGCGACCCTCACTCACCTCCCCTCCTCTTTTTTCTCCTTCTCACACAGCGCAGCACCACTCAGCTCAGCACAGCACAGCTCAGCACGGAACAGCTCAGCGCAGCACTGCACCGCACAGCACAGCACAGCACAGCTCAGCACAGCTCAGCACAGCACGACGGTCGTCCAGGGCACAGCAGGCGTGGTAGTTTCTCGACACCATCAAGGGGATGCGCAGGGGGTGGTCCACGAGCGCGGCGTCTATGCGGGCCATGGCGCAGGGCATAGCAGGCGTGGTACTTCCTCGACACCATAGGGGGTGCGCAGGGGGTGGTCCCCGAACGCTGCGTGTATGCGGGCCATGGCGCGGGGAAAAGCAGGCGTGGCACTTGCTCGACACCATATGGGGGTGCCCAGGGGGTGGTCCCCGAGCGCGGCGTCTACGTGGGACATGGCGCAGGGCATCGCAAGCGTGGCACTTTCTCGGCACCATAAGGGGGTGCGCAGGGGGTGGTCCGCGAACGCGGCGTCCATGCGGGCCATGGCGCAGGGAAAAGCAGGCGTGGCGGTTTCTCGGCACCACCATAGAATGTGCGCAGGGGGTGGTCCCCGAGCGCGGCGTCTATGCGGGACATGGCGCAGGGCATAGCAGGCGTGGCACGTCCTCGACACCATGGGGGGGGCGCAGGGGGTGGTCCCCGAGCGCGGCGTCTATGCGGGCCATGGCGCAGGGAAGAGCAGGCGTGGCACTTTCTCGACACCATCAGGGGGTGCGCAGGGGGTGGTCCCCGAGCACGGCGTCTACGCGGGCCATGGCGCAGGGAAAAGCAAGCGTGACACTTTCTCGACACCATAGGGGGTGCGCAGGGGGTGGTCCCCCAGCGCGGCGTCTATGCGGGCCATGGCGTGAATCATAGCAACACGGTACTTTCTCGATGCCAGAAGGGGTGCGCAGGGGGTGGTCCCCGAGCGGCGCCTATGCGGGCCATGGCGCAGGGCATAGTAGGTGCGGCTGTTTCCCGACAGCAGAGGGGGTGCGCAAGGGGGTGGTCCCCGAGCGCGGCCGCTATCCAAGCCGGTCGTCCAGGGCGCAACAAGCGTGGCCCTTTTTCGACGACAGAGGGGGTGCGCAG